TATCCTTGGAAATTACTGTCAGATAATAGAAGTCCAGGACTCCTGTTCTAAACAATGGAGATTATAGCCCTCATTATAACTGAGAGAAGTAGGATAGGTCCATGATCAGACCCACAATCAAAATAACGGATGTGTGATGTGTCGGTGCTGGACTGGGTCCAGTTCAGAACAAGTTCCTTCTGCCTTCTAGGCATTAATAGCATCTTTGATAACAATTTGACACCTCCCTGAACAGAGCTTGGGGGGTGGCAGATTGATTGTGACAGTCCAAGTGGTGGGATGAGAGAGACCTGAGTGATTCTATGTGATCCTCCTCCTCCCCAGTCTTGGAAAAACTTACCGAAATAGAGGCTTTCAATTCGTTTTGATTCATTTGACCTTTACAACAATCCTTTGGGATGAAATGGTCTTCATCCCATGTCATTGTTGAATGGGTGCGGGGGGTAGATAGATTTCAAGGCGTTGGCTCACATAACTGGGGAGGCCTGGTGAGTCTAAAATCTGCAGGGTAGGCCAGCAGACTGGAGACCCAGGAAAGAGTTGCAGTTTGAGTCCAAAGGCAGCCTGCTGGCAGAATTCCCTATTGCTTGGTATGGGAAGTGGGAAGGTCAGTCTTTGTTCTATTAAGGCCTTTAGTCGACTACATGAGCCCTATCCACATAATGAAAGGTAATGTGCTTTACTTAAAGTCCACCAATTTAAATGTTAATCTCATCCAGAAAACATCTTTGCAGAAACAACCAGAATAATGTTTGACCAAATATCTGGGCACCATGGCCCAGTCAAGTTGACACATGAACTTAACTATCACAAAAACTAAGCTTGAGAAATTTACCTGTCATGCTGATGGCACACGGCAGTGAGAGGTGGGGCTAGGGATTTAACCAAGGTCTTTGATTCTAACGCTTGAGTTCTCTTCACCATCTGCTATAGCCAGGGTCAGTAAACCAGGGAAAGGAGTATGTCATTCTTGGAGAGCCTCGTATTGATTAGATGACATATTCATGGAGGTCTCATTCATTCTTCAAAAAGTCTTTCCCAAGTGTTACTGTGGTCCACATGGTGTAGACTAGGAGCTCTACCCCTGGAGAGTGAGCAAGGAGCTGCCTCTGGGAAGCCTGCTTCCCACCGTGATAGGCTGGGTCCTGGAAGTGCATGGTGGGTTTTGGAAGCCAGGCCAACCTCAAGGAGCTATTTGAGGATTCTGCATCAAGCAGGTGTGATTTTCCAGATGAGTGGTGTGCTTCACAAAGCCTCACTGTATGTCCAGGGAACATCCCTGGAGCATGCAGATGAAGAAGGATGGAACCCCTTCCTGGCACTCTTGGGAAAAGGAGAGACCTCCACCTATATTAGGCCTCTGTGACAGGCAAGGTTGGAGGTAGGGGGTGAATCAGATGACCCTGGAGAGGGCCCTTCCACTTCATAGACTCTTTAGGGCTCAACAACCTCAAACAGTGCTCCTTAGCACTGAGATCCACGTATTTTATGAACTTCTCTCGCTCCTCATCCCAGTAGAACCTCAGTAAGAACACCTGGGCAGGGATGGACACTTCACTCTCCCAGACCTAGAATATTCTGTTACTCCTTTGCCTCACTCTCCCTGTTCCCATCCTTGTCCTGCCCCCCACCTGCCACCTCTAAGTCTCTGGCCCTGTCTTTAATCTAATTTCATCTTTTCTTTCTCTTTGCCTGAAATGAAGCTACTCAGTGTCAATCTTGCAGACAGGTTTTCACAGACACCGCGTGTAATGAGAATTAAAGAGATTCTATTTCTCATTAGGTCTGCCATTTTGCTTCTATTTGATCTGCTGCTACTAATTTCTATTAATTCCTTGACCTTTTCTTATGACCATAGACAATTAGATTGGCCTGTGGAGTGATTTCCAAGGGAGGATGGTTACGCTATAGCTCCTGATAGTAGAAATGCGTCTGTCATAAAACTCTCTTATGCCTTAGTGACTTTCCTGCACTCTTTATTTTGACAATGATAATTAAAAATAGATGACATTTATTTAATACTCACCATATGCTGGGAAATATAGACAATCAGTAGTGAGAAAAGAGGGATTAAAGTTGAGAGGAAACTGGGCAGAAATTTGAATGTAGACACGAGGGTTGACTTTCCCAGACAGTTACTGAGCCTGTGGTAGAATTCATGAGAAAGGATGAGGTCACGAGAGGAGAGTCTGTGATGCTCAGGAAAAGCATGGCTGCTGACCAAACCCTGGAACACTGAGACCTCAGTGGAAGAAGAGGAACCAGGAAGAGAAACTGCACAAAGAAAGATGTGCTGGCAAGATGTCCAGGAGAGAGGGCAGCACCTTGAGAAAGGGGTGGTCTAAACAGTTCAAAAAATGTGAGAATAAAGAACGACAAGACTGGACTCATCTAAAAGGCCATGCGACCTCAGAATGAACACCTGCAGGGACTCAGGGCAGGATGTCAGTGGGTAGCAGGAGAGGCGAGGGGAGGAGAGACAGAGGACTGGACTTGATTGCCAGTGGGCTGTGGCAATTTCCAGTTACAGAATTTATTCGCAATCTGTTCCATCTTGGTTAAATTAAATAGGATTCATACTGACGTAGAAGGGATGAGGGTTCTTTATCAGAGTTTTTTGTTGTGTTATTAAAGATGTTGTAGAAAATACACAGACTTGAAGTAAGAAGAACTAGGTTAGGATCTAAGCTCCCTCATTTGCTGACAAGCAACCTGGGGCAGGACACTTATCAGCTGTCGTCTTTTCTTATTTTTAAAAAAGGTTTTACTGATAATTCTCAAAGTTTTGAGGTTCAGAGGAGATATAGGTGAATAGGCTTTGGCAACTATAAAGAGTTATGCAAATGCAAGGCATCATGTTAAACATGCTTGTCATATCTGTAAGGTAATGCTCAGTAATTGTCCCAGTATTGTATTTTGGTGAATGATGAAAGTATGTTAGGTAAAATTATATTTGGCTGCAAATAACAGAAGACTCAATTATAATAATTGAAACATATAGGGGGTTATTTTTCTTGCCTAGCAAGAAAGTCAGAGAGAGGCACAGCCACTTATGGGTGGTATCTAGGACCGTGGCTCCTTCTATCTTCCTGCTCCACTGCCCTTAAGTGAGTAGATTTTGTTCTTAAGGTTTCGAGGTGGATGCTGTATCTCCAGGCATGCTATCAGTGCTCCAGGAGAGAAGACACGGAGGAAGGAGAACTAGGGAATGTCAAAGGAATGCCATCTGAATCTGACCTTTTCTTAAAGAGTTTTTGTGGAAACTGTCCTCTGCCTTCTGCATTCCAATCTCACTGGTCAGAACTGAGTCTCATAGCTATCTTGAGCTACAGGAGAGTCTGGGATAGTGAACACTGTAGATTTCTAGCTTCTTTAGTTGGAAGGCAAGGGAGAAGGGATTTCTCAATGGCTTCTAGGAGCCAATGTGCAGTGTCTGCTGCAGCACAGAGCTCACCTTGCCATGAGCCTCGACATGAGAGAGAGGATGGAGGGAGGTGGAAGTGGGGTATGATGCTGAGGACAGCCACCTAACAATGACCCAACAGCAGGGCTCCGGGGCCTTCTGTGGCTTGGATCAAAACATGGCTGTCCCCTACCAAGAGGACCAACCCCAGGACTTTGGTTCCTTCTGACAGTCGGCCCTAGCCAGCTGCTGCCAAAGGGGTAAACACATGCCGAGTCTTTGAGTCCCTGCTGCACTGTAGCTGTGGTTCAAACACACCTCCACGCCTACTCCGTCTGGGCTGATGGGACGTTCACTCTAGTTGTGTGTTAATGATGATTTGCAGTTATCCGTGCCCCCTCTCATTAATGGGGAGTCGAATACTAAACACTTATGTTATCTAACTGTATAAGTAATTTGCATCTGTTGCGTATCATTTTAAGTTTGTTCTCCAATCCTTGGGAACCATGAAGGACAATGCATTACACTCTCTTTTTCTTTGGAAGGATGGCCCTTTAACCAGCCATTTCTCTAAGCCCCTTCAGCTAGGTGGAGAAACAGATGACCATTAGAATCTGGAGCTGAACATCCTGAAAATTCTATGCAGGGCAGCACGCAGTGGGGACATCATTTACTTGCAGAGGGATTCCTGGGAACATAAGGAAAATAGGAAATAGATAAGCTCAAACACTCACCCTGAGGGTAGTTCCAATCATGGAGGAGACAGTTGCTTTTGACTAAGGCAATTTCCAGTCCAGTCAAGAAGACAGACAATGATCACATTTTTAAAAAAAATTAAAAGCAATTTTTAAAAGTATGAATAAGAACTATTGTAAACTGCTCAAACTATGTATATAAGCAATGAAGTAAGATGACTTGACTGGCATCGAGTTAGGAAAGCTATACAGAGGCAGGGAGTGTGGAACGTAATTTAATAAAAATAAACCTTATATATATATATATATACACACTCCCAGAAAAGAAGTGGAAAAGTTGTTAGGGTGTGGACCAGCACTCCTAATTAGCTGTTCTGTTGTGCCTGATTTCTCTGCCCTCTTGCCCAGCACCTCCCCGGACAGACTGTCCCGCGAAGGGACTCCGCGGCGCCGGACTCCCCCAGCAACCGTCTTGGAACAGGCCTCTTCGGGTCGCCCAGAGGAAGAGCGGAGGAGGGACCCGCTGCCCAGGTGGCCACTTCTGCCTCCTTGACCCGCACATGCTCCCCAAACAGAGGGAGCGCAGAGGAGGCTCCCTGCCAGAGCGGGAAACAGCTACCCTCATTGTGTGCACACCTCGCCCTGCCGGCTGCTCTCTGCCTGCCTCCCTCCCCCCGGCTCCGGCTCAAAGTGTGAAAATTACAAATCCCCGGGAGCTGCAATCAGAACTCTACCTAGGGAAAACTCAGAGTATCCTTGCCATAAATATCCCGCTCCAAGGCGCCTGACGTCAGAGCGGGGAGGGCGGGCGGGCGCGAGGCCGGGCCTGGAGGGAAGCGGGCGCTTGCTCCGGACCCAGCAGAGCGCGGCGGGCGGCGAGCGGCGGGCGGCGCGGACGCGAGCGCGGAGCCGGGCTGCGGGCAGCGGCGCCGCGGGCGCGGAGTAAGTGCGGCGGGGCGGCGGGGCGCTCCGCGGCGGGCCGGGCCGCTCTGCCGCGCTCTCCCTCTGCTTTCTCTCGAACGCGCAGTGGGGCTCGGGAGGGCAGCAGCCCCGCAGGCTGGCTGTTTTGTTTCTCTAAGTGTTTGCAGGAGCCGCTGACTCTGGAGTGGGCTCCCAGGGCGTATGTGTGTGTGTGTGTGTGTGTGTGTGTGTGTGTGTGTGTGTGTTTGCATGTGTGTGTCTGTCTGTACTGGCACATCTCAACGCAGGAAATGTCTTTGGAAGACATAAAAAAAAATTTTTTTGTGGTTTGAAATCTGACTCCTTGTTGTCACAAGTGGACAAACTTAGAAGGTATCCCCCTAAACTGACAACTTTTTAGTGGTGGCTTTTCCCGGTTCTGCTTGTGCCTTCACTTGGGTGGGTGGAAGTCTTCACAAGCCCCCAGCTCCCGCTTGCAGGCCTGGCCTCTGGCCAGCGGGCAGGGCAGCGGCGGCGGTGAGGTTCTTGTTCTCAGCGGCAGTGGGACGCCGGGCCAGGGAAGGAGCATCCCGGGAAAGGGGTCCCGACGCTGGGGCTCTCAGCACCTGCGGCTGCAGCCCAGCCTCCTGTCCTGACCTCACCAGGCCAGGGGACTCTGACTCAACCAGGGGAGGAGGCATCTGGCCTGGAGGCAGGTAATTTTGTAAAGTGGATGAGGAGGACGCGGAGGTGGTGGTGGCCAGGACTCTGTGGCCCTGTGTCCAGCCCGGCCTGGGGAGTGGGACGGATGTTTCTGCCACATGGCCACGGTGGGGTACTGCCAGGTTCTCTGAGAGTGCCGTGTGCCGCGGTGCCCCAAACAAGATGCAAGCTCATAACATAAAGAGACGTGTCTGAGCTGTGGGGTGGAGGAAGGGAGGGTGGGGGAGAGGGAGAGAGATTTTTATCAAAATTGAACACAGATTGCTGAGGTCTGGGCTTGATTTAACTCTTCTCTCTCTTCGCCTTGGCCACTTCTCCGCAATTTTGTGGTGGATTTGGAAAGTTTCTCGGTGGGGTGGGAAGGAAAATCACACCTTTCCAGGAAAAAGTCCCCATAGGTTTTCCTTGAAGCCTACATGGAATGAAAGCAAACGTTTAAAGTTTTGTGTTTTTCCCCTTCCAAGTTTTGCTTTTAGTTTCTTGGATTTCTCTGAAAAGCCAGCTGAAGAAGGGGTTTTGGATTTTCCCTAGGACCCGGAGGGGAAAGTTTGTTCCACTGAGGGCGGGAGGAAAGGGCTGTAGGGGTCCGTCAAGCCTGGATTGCACAATGCAGGGCACTGCATGCCAATTGCTGGGTTCCACCAACGAGTGGCCACAGCCAGCCAGAATTTTCAGCTTTGCTCTAGCCAGGTCTCTGGTTTTGTATTTTGCAATAGAGCCAACCTACGATGTTTGGGTGGGAGGAAGATTACTGGATTCTCCCTATGTCCTAGAAAAAATGAGAGAATGAGGGGACAGGGAGGAAATCTGCATGTAAAAACAGGCTCACAGGAAGTTGAGATTTGAGAAAGATTTTAGAAATTTTACAAATTGATCTCCAGGGAAGTGCCATAAAAGACTGAGCAGGCAGCGACGTCAGAAATAGACTCATTTGGTAACTTCAGGAGTGTGTTGTCATCTGAAGGGTAATGAAGAAGAAGGAAATAGTCCTGTGGGCAGTGGGCAGTGTAAACAAGATTGCATGTAAACAGGATGGCTGGGTCGCCAGGAGATGCGCATGGAGCGCGTGTTTACACATACATGACTGTGGTGATGGCCAGCCGTGGCCTCGGGCATGGAAGTATAAATGGTACATTTCTTCATCTGTGCTGGGAACTACATCTAACCCCCATTTCTTCCTTTAAGAAAACAACTGTGCTATTATTGTCTTACTCCTTGGTAGTTGCACACTCTGGCTCCTAACTCCTGGCTGAGTTTTCAGACCGTTTCCTCCAGATCCTTGGATGCTGAGGGAATACTTGTGCCCCCATCAGGACAAAAAGAGGAGAGAAAATTCTCCCGGGCATTAGAACTTAGCAAGCCAGGGGCTCAAGAAGGTGGAGACAGTCAGTGCAGGACCAATAGGAAGGCCTGTGAATGCTGTTGCTTTTGGCGAGTGTGGAGGAGGTTGAAATGCTACTGCCTTCTGTGAGAATGTGTTCTCTCCCTGGTCCTTCTTCCCAACTCCCTGCCTCCAAGTTTTTGACACAGAATAGGTTAAACTCTCCCTATTACTGGATAGCCTTGGATGCAGGGGTAAAGAATGAAGACAAAGGGTAAGCACGGGTGGTGGGCAAGGCATAGAGAGGCTGAAAGATGAGGAAGCTTTCTTCTTTGATTTTAGTGGGGCCAATGGAAGTAGCCAGTTTAAATGTTCTCACTCATGCCCATTATTTAAAAATAGAAGGCTAAATATCCAGGCACAGAGGGTACCCATCAGAGCAGGATTCCTAGAAATACCCTCATCCAGCACAGGACTCCTCAAGGAGGGCTGCGGGTGGCAACTGGGCTTTCGGCTCTTTCGAGGTGTAGGGTTTCTCCAGAGGGCCAGTGGGATCCTGACCCTTCTGGGATTGTTCTAGGAGACATTTCACCAACCCCAAACCTGCAATGAATTCCCGCCACAGATGCTTAGGCTGACACTGAAGCCTTCTCACCACTCCTTCTATCAGCCTAAGCGTCTGGTCAGCTCTTTGGTCATCTCTGAGATTAGATGAATTAGAGAGGGTGCATTCTCAGGCATTCTTGAAGATGCAAAGGGCAAGCACACATGGTAGAAAGAACAACTTGGAGGATGTCCTTGACTTTGATAGCAGATAACCCTCTAGATCTCTCAGCCAGAGACTCTGTGTCAAGGATACCGTGTCATTCAGCCCTGGATTTCAAACGCAGCCTGACACAGTAGAAAGAGTGCAGACTTCAGGGCAGCTGCCCTGAGAGAGACAGAGAGAACTGTGACCTGTATATGAATTAGTAACCTGGGATACAGTACTTATTCCTTCTGAGCTCTGGCTTCCTCATCTGTAAAATGGGGAGAGTGTTTATGTCACCAAGTCATCGTGAAAATAACATTTGTGCAAAAGGACTAAGAACAGAGCTGGAAATGTTATAGACTCTTAACAAACGGAATGTCATATTTTTATTTTTCAGTTTTCCCACCATCAGGAACTAGGATGGCAAGACCTCTCCCTAAATCTAGCTACATGTTTTCCATGGTTTAAGGCCAGTGGTTAGAGTTTCTAGGGCTCAGGTCACCCTCACTTCCTCCCTCTAGACAAGGTGACCAGTGAGGATTATCCATGAGCATGCCTGGTCCATTATCCTGAGGGTAGGGAGAAGGCACCAGGCCTCCTGGATGTCTGGCCTAGAAATCACTCTTTTGCTTGTGCTCTCTGGGGAGGGGGAAGGGTGGGGAGCAGGTAGTGTATGTATGGTGGGCTAGGAGGGTCAAGAACTGACTGAATCTTGAAGGATAAACCTGAGGTCAGAGGTTGGTTAGGCAGCCCCTTTTTGTCCTGGGTGCTCAGGTCAGGGTCATGGAGAATGTGGTGGGTTGTGAGGAATGGAAGCTTTAGCCATCATAAACATCTCCATTGGGTGCGAGGTAGGAGGCTGCCTCCTGAACCCTGATCGATACGTTTTCCGGGAAGTGACTGCTCTAAAGGAAAGAAGGAGCATCTAACGCTGGTGAGAGCAGCTGCAGGTCCTCTTGGCCCATCCCAGAGGTTCTAAGTTATCCTTCAAGTTGACATTTAAGACTTTGAAGATCACATTTGTTTTTGTTTTGTCCAAGCTCGCTCTTTAACCATGGCCTGGGATGACTTTTAAGCTTTTAAGAGGCTCAGCCAGTGGCCAACTTCTCTTGAGATGGCCCAGATTGGGGGTCAGTGAATTCCTCCCTCCTGGCAGCATCTATTTCTCCAACTCTCTCCTCACATTTTTCGGTTTATTTGTTTTTTGTTTCATTATGAGGTTCTAAAACTACACAGTCAAGAGGCTGTGGAGGGAGGAAGTGCCCTTTCTCTGAGCCTGATTCGTTATGCTAGTGCTGTCCACGGCTTATCAGACTATGGTCATTAGCACGTGTTGCGGGTTTCTTTCTGAGTTCCTCCTCAAAAAGACCGTGAGAAAAATGGACTTTGGCAGTTTGATGTTTCTTTAAATCCTGGCCAAAGAGGAGCAGAATTATTTGTAGGATGCCCCATGGTTCCAGGGAAAGAGCTTTAGAATCAAGCAGACTGAGATTTGAGTTCTGGCACCGGCAGATCACAAGCTTTTCAGCCTCTCTGAGACTTCTTCATCTGCTAACGGAGAACAGTAACTATTCTCACATCCCAGCGTTGTGAAAATGAGATGAAATGACATATGGGAAGGACCCACAAAATTGCTCAGTGCTTAGCAAAATATTAATGCCTTTAGCCTCTCCATTTCTAAGCTCATGCAAATACATGGCTTGGACATATGTCCACAAGTCAAAGTAAATAAGCCACTTATTTGAGGCTTAACAGTTGTGCTCAAAGGTCAGATATCTCAGCCTGGAGACGGAGACCCTTAATGCAAAAGTGGGGCACAGAACAGTGCTCCTTATGCCAAGCAAACAGCCCCATGTAACCCTCTATTGGAAGAAAGGAAAGGCCACCAGCTCACTCACCCACGAACTTGGGTTATTAATGAGCTCTCTCTCTATAGAGCTTGTTTTAAAAATCCCAAACACTGTCTTGGGTCAAAAAATAAGGAGAGAAATCACTGAGGCAGTACCTAACATTAAAACCTAAGAATAGTGGCACAATGATGACAGTACCTTACATTTGTCTCATTTAAATATCATAACAATTGTATGAGATTGGTATTAACTACATTTTACAGACCAAGCTCTGAAGGCTTAAAAGACTCATCCTATTTCACATAGCAAGTAAGCAGAAGAAACAGAAAGCAAACAGCTATCCAAGTGCTGAGTCTCAACCCTGGCTGCACATTAGAACCACATAAAGATCTTGTAA